AAAAATATTCTCTCTGTCCCCCCCTCCCCCCTCTCTCTCTCTCCTCTCCCTCTTTCTGCAAATTACTCGTTTTATTTTGTTTCTTGCAATTGATTTCAGGGAGTATTCACGATCAAACGTTTTTATCATAAATTTTAGGAAAAAAATTAAAATTAGAATTTAAATTAAAAGAAAATAGTTATCTTTTACGAAGACGTTAAAAACCATATTATTTTGTGATACTTTATTTCTTTTTATAATCCGGATTTATTTATTTGATTTTTCAAACAGTATAAATATAAGAAATGTTTTTTTTTTTTTTTTAATTTTATTGACAGTTTTTTGCTACAGCCAAAACATCCTTAAGACTCGTTACATTAAAAGAAAAGATTTAATGTTATAGCTGGTACTATGAAACGGCTGGAGAAGCGTTTTAGCTTTCCGTAGAAATATGATATATGAAAGATTAGTGTCGTTGAAAGCTGGCGTCTTAAAAAATGTGCCATCAAAATAAATTATAAGGCGCTAATTTCAATAAATGATATTTAATCGATGCATTAGCGAATCGTTCTATTTATACATAATGCATTATCAAATTGGAGAATTCGAGCGATTTATTCTTTAAAGAGAAAAACGATTTTGCGGTTTTAAAAATGGGCTTTATAAGATAGAATCTCGATCGCATAACGAATTGTATCTTCATTCGTTCGAAAATCGACTATTTCCTTCGATTTTCTTTTTCGCGCGCTCGCAATGACGGATTTTTACGATACCTCGACACCATTTCTCGGTGATTTAATTTACTCTTTGTAAATCTTGACTCTTTGATTTACTCTGTAAACGAAAATAATACACACGAGATAAACATAACACAAAGACCGCGACGACGGCGACGCGCCGATTACGATTTCAAGGAAAATAACAGCTGCATTATCTCTTTCTAGACCAGAGGATAATCCTACTTGTGACTTATTCGAATGCGTAATGTAGACGAGAAAAAATCATACTGAAATTAGTTTTATGAACTAACTTCAATATGATTTTATTATTTTTCTGAACTTTTTTGTTTTATAATAATAAACATCATATTAATTATCATAATTGTGGAATAATGTCGTTATTTTTGGGAAAAATAATTTTCTTTGAGTATAAGATATACATATTTCTAATTTTTACACATATATACTTAATATATTTCTTGTACATTATATGCATTAATCTCATTTCAATTATACATATACATATATGTACGTTATAAATATTTTTATATATATAAGAAAACTATAATTTCAAATATATAATTTCATAAATAAATTCAATAATATAAAATATATTAAGTCAACAATAAGCATGATTGTAAAAGATAAGCATACAATGTATTTACATCATTTATTAATAATTAATTAAATTTACTATTCTTTAATTATTATTTAACACTTTTTAGTTTTCAGCGAAATAAACAAATGACATGTTAAACTTAATATAAATATGTTTTTGAATTTTTATTGTAAATATCTAAATATTTTATCTTTTCTTTTATGTATACAGAAGGATATATAAAATAGAATTTCATATGCAATTTTTTGACAATAAAGATTTTTTGTCAAGTTTTTATACCGATCTTCTTCTTTGTAAACTTGCTAAATAAATTTTTCTTCTTATTCTCATATATATCAGTGTTTGATAAATCTAAGCTGTCTAAATTATCTACTGATGGCAGATTTTGAATTGTTGTCTCTGTAATTAATTGACCACTTTGCTTAGTTTGTTTTGTTTTCCAATTTGCTGTAATTTTTTCCCATCGCAATAATGTTTTATTCTTTTTACTGGCAATATTTAAAGCTTTTACATCGTTTATTTTTGCAACAGCATATTTTTCACTTTTCTGTTGTAGATATTTTAATGTTTCATTTGTCTTTTGATCATTTTGAAGTATATCACCACGCTTATCAGACAAAATATTCCTTGCTTCTGTAACCTCATTTGTTATATTGTTTTTTATTTGTGTTTTACTGCTGCAAAAGTAATAATTACTTAGTAATAATTAAAAATAATAATTACTTAGTTTGTATTCTTAGAATAGCTTTTATGTGCATGTGTGTGTGTAAAAATATATACTATATATATATCAAATGTATATCTTGTTATATTGAATAAGAGTTACATTACTTTGTATTGATAGAATTTGAAGCTTTTATAGAGTCTTGTAATTTGCCCCAAAAGTCATATAATCCTCTACGATTATAATCCAGAGTAGATATATATTTCAATTGAAATGGCAATTCGCAGCTTTCATATATACATGGTATGATTTTTCTCTGCCGCTTTTCTATAAAAACATAAATTCTTAGAATACACACTTTCAAGAGGATTCTAGTTACTCAATGACAAATATATATCTCAAAATAGATATAGTACAATGCAAAAACCATACCGATACTTAAAGCTTGAGCATAATTTAAGAAGAATTTGTTCGCTGAGCTTTTCAGAAAGCTAGGCGATATTATAATGAGTAATCTATTACATCGTTCTGATATTAACTTCATCACTGCTTCATGCTCAAATGCTACACCACCAACTAGATCACGATCTTTTAAACAAAGCTTTCAACAGAGGAAAAACAACAATTATTGTTTAATTTTAATTGAATATTTCTGAGAAAGTCTTATATAATATATATCTCAATTATCTGAAATTATACCTTTAGCTTATATTCTGTCTCCAGTTTTTGTATCATCTCATTCGCAAAACTAATATCTTCATCTGCATATAAAAGGAATGCATCATAATATTGTGTTTGTAAACCTTGATTTAATCTATGAACATCACCTACAGGGAACAAATATTTTTTGTACAATTATTGTATAATTACATATAAAACACAAATATAACCATTACTTTTGATTCATTTGAACTAAAATATTATTGATTGCATATTTTACAAACCTAATGTGAGTATTTCTTGATCGACACATTTGTCTATTAAAACTGCTGATACTTGAGCTCTTTGCTGTTGTTCCAAATATTTTGCAGTATCAATATCTGAAAAAAAAATCTTCAATTTATAATTGTGGGAGATAGACTTTCATATATATTTTTACTAATTTGTTATAAACAACAGAGCTTAATAGTTATTTTTTTGTAACACCATAGATATCTATAATATATTATATAGAAGTCTGTGGATAACACATACGAAATATTGCTTCAGTGTCATCAATAATATCCCATCTGTCTATTTCTTCCATCATCGTTTGAAAATTTTTTATGGTAATATTCTTTTTATTTTTCTCCAACATTGTTAACATATATGTTGTTGGATCAGAATGTGATACCAGCAGAGACATTATTTCCCCATTGAGCTCCAATAAATGTGCAAGACCTCGCCAATCTCTAATAATTTGATTATAAATAATAATTAATAACTATATATAAATATGAAGAAAAAAATATGTAGAATATTATATTTATTACAGAAATAAAATACATTTACCTTGGCAAATTGTTATCGCTTGGTAAAACTTTTGTGGGGTTTAACATAGCTGCAATAATTTGTTTGCTCACAACAGAGATTCCCACAAGTGGCATGGTCGATAAATCAACTGTCATTTTGTGTGATTAAATTCTTTTCTTCTTTCATGTAATGAATCGCTCTTTATCTTATTTTAACTGTTTTGACAAGATTATTGTCACAATCACAGCTGTATGCATATATATATAATTTTGTTACACTTCCATAGAATAATTGTTTTATACTTTGCTACATTTGCTATTATCTGCTATCATTTAGGGCCGTGGCACATAAAAAAACTTAAGCAGTAAGACTAAAGGTGCCTTTACATGGCAGCGTTAAGCGTCGAGCGTCTGCGCAGAAAATTGCGCAGAATCTAATTTTAGCCTAGAATCTATCTCTTTTAAATTCTGCGCAGTTTTCTGCGCAGACGCTCGACGCTTAATGCTGCCCCTACAGCCTTGTTACTGCCATTGTAGAATACCCTTTAAGCCCGTATCAGACTACGCATTGAAAATTGAAGATTGAAGATTAAAGATTGGAATTTGACTAATCAGAACAAAAGGGACTAAAATTCCTTCATTCTAATTGGTCAAATTTCAATCTTGAATCTTGAATCTCAATCTTCAATGCATAGTCTGATATCAGTCTATTTTTTATATTAATAAATGTAAATACTAAGTATTATTAATTAGTATCAATATTTAATTTGTTGTTTATTTTAACTTATTTTGTTTAATACATATATATAATCATATTATAATTTTTGAAAAAATTAACAAATTACAAATAAAAATTTTGCTATTATAAAACTTTTTTATTAGTTAAATAACCAGAGTTAGTCAAAATGAAGAATTAAAAAATTAATGTTGCAACGTAATTATTACAATCAAATCATAAAATTATCTTTATATTATCCCTGTCTGCCGATACAACATAATTTTTCATTCATATTGCATAATGGCAAAAATTATTATATGTAAAAATTGAATCAAAATAACATCGAATCGATATCTAAATGATGTAATATCGATGTCTTAGCAAAAAATCCATAATCTGCCTGTTTAAAAATCTGACGATGAATATGTGTCACAAATAATCTTTTCCTTTAAAAAATATCATATAGAGCACGGACTTCGAAATAAGCTTCAAATTTCGAGCATTATTTCGATACGATGTAATGTCGATGATTTCGACGTCAATTAGACATCGATTTGATGGGTCATTTTTCGCTGGGATTTTCGGCAGGGAACATACTGCGTCCACGCATACACTTTAATGCGAAGCAAGGTTCCACATGGGTTTGTAATTTTCCACGCGAAGCAAGGTCTAGCCCCATCATCTGCTGCTTTCAATGCGAAAGGAAATCTATTATTGTACAGTTTCACATAGGTTTTGAATACAGTCAATAATTTTCGAGATATTGATGTTCCAAAATTTCGTTTCAAAAACGTTAATCCGATTCTTTTATTTTATGTGCAATAATATCATGTGTGCAATGTGTATGTATGCAATAACGTCATGTGTGCAATGTGTATGTGCGCAATAAAATCATGTATGCAAAATGTTAATACGATTTCCTTATTTTATGTGTGCGCAATACGGTCATGTGTGCAATCTGTATGTGCGCAATAAAGTCATGTGTGCAAAACGTTAATTCGATTTTCTTATTTTATGTGTGCAAGGAGTATGTGCGCAATAATGTCATGTGTGCAATCTCCTTGTGTGCAATGTATATGTGTGCAATAATGTCATATGTGCAAACGTACGTTCGTATTTTTAATTTTTACATGTGCGCAATAATGCTTGTAGGCAATCGCTCTGTAGGCAATCGAAGCTGTCGGCAAAATGTTGTAGGCAAACGAAGCTGTTGGCAATTGGGGATGTAGGTAAACGGAGCCTCCTCGAAAAAAATAAATAATTTCCTGCCAAGGAATGTGTTAGCATGCCTGGTTCGAACAAGAACATACATTCGATTAAAGCACATGAATTTAGAAATAAAAAGTAAGAATACTGTTTAAAAAATTGGGAAAAAAAACATATATGCAATAAAGTTTATATTTAAATTGTTATTTTATTTAAGTCTACATTTTATTTTAAATCATTATCATATATGTTATTAAATGTTATTTTAAATATAAAAGAATCACAAAAAAACGTTATTTTATTTATTCCTGTATTTTATTTAAGGTTTTACTGTATTTCATTAAATATATATTTAAAATTTTACATGCTTCACGCATTTTCATTTCTTATAATCGAATTTCACTTTAATTAAAGTGAACGCCTGCAAAATGGGTCGCCTTCTGATTGGATCAACCGCCAAAGCTGCCGCCATTATGCGCAATGCTTCATCTTGTTTCTTTACACCATTCTATTATGGTTATCATGGGATTGAAACATCTTTTTGTATTTTTTTGACACATAACATAATAATAACAAGACGCCAAAATCAAATGTTGAACATATATAAAACATAAAAAATTATCGAATTTTTTCCCATGTAATGTGTAATAAAGCAAGAAACTATTATATCCTGTTACATATCTTTATTTATTAATTAAACTTATCAGTTAGATAAATTTTTAAAATAATATTACATTTATAATGCTAAAAGAAAATTAATCCTCTAGGATCTGATGTAACTGTAAAATAAAAATGTATATCTATCTTTTTTTATGTTAATGTCAAGAATATCATATCACAGTTATGCACTAGTAACAAAACTTTGTTACAGTTATGCACTAGTAAACAAAACTTTGTTAGAAAGATAAAAAATTTACAAGTATATATTTATAATTAAAGTCAAAATTAGAATCAACATCAGATATTAGCCTATATCTATATCAATATCTAAAATGAGTAAAATCAATAGCAAAAACATCGTTGATAGAATATTAATCTAGTATTATAAAAAATTATTTCAAGTATAATAAGGTAAATATGTGTCGATATATGAGAGCTTGAATTTTATAATGAATTTTATAATGAAAAAGTTTTATCTGCTTAAAGTTTAAGTAAAATAGTTATATATATATATGTAACTATTTTCATATTATCTTTGTACACTCTATTTATATTTATCACAAGATGGAATAAATTAAAAACCGAACAGTGACTTAAGATCATTGAGAGTGATCTTCATAGCAGCGTTATTTTTGTCGCCACTCAATACGTTGCTTGCTATCTCGAGCTTTCGTTCTTGCAAAGCTTGTATACGTTGCTCTATTGTATCAACACAAATAAATCTGGAAGGAAAAATATTCATTATTAAAACGAAAGATGCACATAAGAAGTGAGCGTAGAAATTAAATGCAGTGTACTAACTTGTAGATGTAGACGTTTTTTGTCTGACCAAAGCGATAAATCCTGTCTTGCGCCTGTGTTTCTAGTTGTGGATTCCAATGAATATCGAATAATAACAAATGATTGCCGCCTACCAAGTTCAATCCTACTCCACCAGCAGTAAGAGAGAGCAGCAAGATTCTTGGTCCGGAATTTCGACTGTTAAAGGAATCCACTACATCCTGAAATAAAAAGATGCACATATCCATTTTCTAAAATAGAATACAATAAAAATTACATGCTTAAACAGCTATTATCTACAGCATACTTTGCGATCCTTGATAGCGACACTTCCGGTCAATTTGCTTAATGTAGCGCCTTTTATTGAAGACAATTGCGATGCTATAACGTCTAGCAGAGTAGCCCATTGCGAAACGATAATGAGTTTATCCTCATCCTTTTGTAAAATTTCTTCAACCGTATTAAGCAAGATCCTCATCTGCATTATATATCACATTAATCGCATGCAAGTAAAATCATGAGACTTTTGTAGATTATACTATTGTCACTTACTTTAGAACTAATGCGATTATTATCAAATACCGGATTCTCAGCAGTAAGTAGATTTTCTTCTATTCTTTTATCAATACTAACATCTTCCTTATCGATTTCATTAAGCGATATGTTACTCATTTGTGACAATAAATCAGAATCCACATTATCCTCATCCATTATTCCGCTTTGTTTTACATCATCCTGATCCAGCATCGCATGAATCAATGCCGGATGACAACACAACTGACGTAATCGTAGTAAAAGCACTAAGATTTCGTGCGTTTTTACATCGGCATGCATCGCTAGTAATTTGTTTCGAGCTTTCGAAAACTGCGTCTCTTTATCTTGAAATAGAAAAACAAGAAACAGATAATAATTATATGAATAAAATATATTGATACATTTTTAATAACTATATTGGATTTGAAAGATAAGCAGGCGTATTATATTTTCCACCATCCAAATCAAACATATGTTCCTTTTCTGCTTTTTGAGCTAAGAACTGTGCAAATAGAGTACGGGAGTAAATCAAAATTTTCTCATACACCAGTTGTTCCTGTGGATCGAGTTTCACCATCACCTCCTCAATAGATTTATTGGGTAGAGATCCCAAATCGCCTTTTTCTATTAGTTCTTGCTTCGTCCTTCTTAGCATCAAGGTCTTCATAACTGTTGCCAATCTTTGATAGCCTGCAGCGTTCTTGTTATCTACCCATCGCTTCCAAACGCGTAAATCGTCAAACGGCGAGCACTTGAGAAACTTTAGGATGGAATATACGTCCAATGCTTTATTTTGTATAGGTGTGCCAGTAAGAGCCCATCGTTTATTTGCCTTGAGTTCACAAACAGCCAAGGATGCTTGACTCTTATGATTTCTTACTATATGAGCTTCATCAAGTATCACTCTTTTCCAGTTAATCTGCAAAAAAAGTTAAAATTGTGATTAAAACTTAGAATAAATCCGAATTATTCACATTGGTAAAATGTAATGTTTTTATTTTCGCCCATTAAAATTAAATGATACTTTCAATGCTAATGTACCTTGTATAATGTAGATTTGGTTTTATGTTCCCGACTTAATATATTGTATGTCGTAATAACTATATCATTTTTCGACAAGCGTTTAGGAACACTCTCTCGATTGCTACCATGATATATCTCAACAGACAGTAAACCGCGTTTGCATCTGTTTTGCACTTCACTATCCCATTGAAACAATAAAGATGCAGGACATATTACTAGAGTACCACCTTTATAATCTGTAAATAATGATCAGACACAATTATCTCAATAGATTAATTTTATTAAATATATTTGTATTCAATTTAAATAATTCAAAATTTTACGAAAAAAAATACAGATATTTCAAGAAATATATAAATATAAAAGAAAATATAGATATTTTTCTGCTAAATCTAAAATAAATTTTTACATACATAAAGGTTTACGATTGTTGCTCCATTCGCAATCGCTGTCATCGCTTTCATCCACTGATTCCTTTTGAGCAAGAGTGGTCATAATCAAAGATATCATAGTCAGTGTCTTACCTAAACCCATATCGTCAGCTGTAATAAAAAAATCCAAGGAAAATTATCTTCCCCGACAATATATTATTAAATCAACATATTAATATAATATCTCTTTTATAGATATTTACCTAATACGCCACCAGCCGGCCTTTGTTGTTCTCTCCACAGAAGCCATGCAAGGGCATGTTGCTGGTGTGGCATTAATTGTACTTTTAATCCTCTTGGATCCTCCGCTTTTTCATTATCTGCTGGACGAGCGATAAGTGATCCATGCAAATGTTGCAAACGTTCGACTGTTAGAGCGAGCTCTCTATCTCTTGTCGCCTGTGCCTTTTCACTCAGTTGCTTTAGTTCGGGAGATGTGGTTGGTTTCAATGGTATATTATTAATATCTAAATATGAATAATCCGAGTATGGTTCATCTTTTATGGACAATGATTCTTTTTTTGCCGAATGTGATTCTTTTGATACTTTATTTTTTTGGCTATTTAAGCTTTGCACCAAAGGTGTATTTTCCAATTCAAGTGTCAACTTCTCAATTTCTGTTTTTTGTTCGCGTATACTTTCACGTAGTCTTTGTCCTTTATCAGGCAATACTTCAATGTTTGCTTCAGTAAGCAACAACTAAAAAAAAAATTATTTTTATGTTTAAAAAAAGAATGTTCTTTATATGCAGAAATTACTTATAACATTATTTTTTTATTGATGCAAATGCACAATTATTACATATAAAAATAGATATTTCTTTTTGTTTCTACAATATTACATTAACTATAAATGAAGTTAAATATATTTGATATTTACTTTTGTTTTCATTAACTGATCTTTAAGTTGTTCCAATTTGCAAATCATAATTGCTCTTTTTTGTGCTACTAATGGATCTATATTTCCAACACCAATTTCTTGTTTTGCAAAAGATAATGCTGTTTCGGATTCACTATTTCTTCCAGAACTGGAATCTATAAATTATATAGATAATTATATTACATGTGAAATAATTTACCCATCCATAAAAAATCAATCTATATATACATGTTTGATATTATATAAATATAGGATTACCTGTATCAAGTACGATAGTCGCAGCTACATCGTGAGAACTTTCAATTTCCAGCATTTCATTATCTGATATTTTATGATTTGATATTTCATGATCTGATATTTCATGATCTGATATTTCATGATCTGATATTTCATAATCTGATGTTTTATAGTCAATATCATCTTTTTTATGTGTATTATTACATTCAACAAGAGATTCAATAGAAGAGTCGAGTTTTAATCCTTTTATGTCTTCCCTAGTGTTATCGTGACTAATATCCTTCCTTTTTTTATTGTATTTCCTGTTTTTAATTGGTGAATATGAAATAAGAGAATCTGTAAAACAGCATAATTGAATGAAAATACATAATTCCGTGATATTATTTTAACAGTAAATATCTTTAAAATGTACAAAGTTGTATATAATGTTGGATAAAATACCATAATTTATACCTGCAAGATTTTCTTTATCTGAATCAGAATCTATTATTTGTATTTTTTTCTGAACTATGCGTTTGGTCAGGCAAGCAACTGGTGTATCATCACTATCAATAGATTTATTTCTGTAAACAAATATTTATAAGAAAATGTTCATCTTCATTGATATTTTTTAATAATATAAATTCAACATGTAATTATATTTATTATATATAATTCAACACATTATATTATTAGTAATAAATTACATAGTATAATAAAATTATGTTTAAAACATATTTTAAAAAAAAGCAAGGACATTTTTTAATAAGAACAAAGTGTAATACTTGTAAACAAAGTATTAAAATAAGAATGATAGATATGGAAATATAAATAACATAATATATAAAGAAATATAATTATATGAAATAAGGAAGAGAGAAACAATAAGAATAAAAAAAAAATATATAGAAAAGTGGTGAATGAATATGTATGCTATTTGAAAATTCAAGTAAGCATTACAAAAGATTAGAGATTCCGAATGTATCACAGAGAATAACATAAATAAATCATGTATTTTTTATATCAAGTGAGATAAGGACTTGCAAAAATAATTCTACAGATAATAGATTCTAGCAAAAATAATTCTAAGGATAAAAATTTTTTAAAAATATATGAATAAAATAGAGATAAACAAGTCTTTTGTAACTTCTTGTGCTAAATAAGCAGAATAACAATATATATTTATAATTTTTTTATATATAGAAAATTTTTTTTATATTTAATATATTTAAA